TTCAGGTATCCAGGGCCCAAGCCGTTTAGGGCTTTATATGTCAAAACAAGCACTTTGAATTGGGCCTGGGCAGCAACTGGAAGCCAAAGTAATTTAAACAGAATTGGCTTGATGTGTCCCCTAGCAGCCCCACCACTCATGAACCGCGCAGCTCGATTCTGAACCAGTTGCAGTCGCCAGACCGTCTTCAAAGGCAGCCCCACACAGAGCACAATGCAGTAATCTATATGAGATGTTACAAGTGGGGGTGTAACTGTCATGAGACTCCGCTCATCCAGGTAGGGCCATAGCTGGTACAATTTCCGCAGCTGAAGGAAGGCGCCCCTGGCCACCAAGTCCACCTGGGCTTCCAGAGTTAGACTGGTGTCCAGGAGCACCCCCAGGCTGCGGACCCTGTCCCTTAGGGGGAGTGTAACCCCATGCAGGGCAGGGAAATGACCCTCTAGCCTGTTTGGCGAAGCACCCATTAACAGCACTTCCGTCTTGTCTGGATTGAGTTTCAATTTATTATCCCTCATCCAGTCCATTATCAGGTCCAGACACGAGTTCAACACAGAAACCGCCTCACCTGGATTGGTGGAAAACTAGAGGTTGATCTGAGTGTCATCAGCATATTGCTGACTCCTCAGCCCAAACCCCCTGGTGACCTCTCCCAGCGATTCCATGTAGATGTTAAACAGCATGGGGGATAGTATTGAGCCCTGAGCAACTGTCCCCCAGCACCACTCTCTGGACACGGTCAGCCAGGAAGGAGCGGAACCACCATAAAGCGGTGCCCCCAAGTCCCAACCCAGCCAGCCTGTCCAGAAGGACACCATGGTCGATGGTGTCGAAAGCTGTTGAGAGGTCCAGGAGCATCAACAGGGTCACACTCCCCCTGTCTCTCTACCGGCAAAGGTCATCGTACAGGGCGACCAAGGCAGTCTCCATGCCAAAACCTGGCCTGAAACCCGATTGAAATGGATCCAGAAAATCTGTTTCATGCAGCACCACCCGGAGTTGCCTGGCCACAACCCACTCCAACGCTTTGCCCAAATAAGGGAGGTTCGCCATTGTTTTGCCATCGTTACAGAGACATGTATGACATCACAAGGCCCCACGCCATGACTTCACAAAGACCCACTCTATGGCACATCCCCCTGAAATTCCAGGAGATGGGGGAAATGCGCCCATGACAGCCCTTGACAGACAAGAAAATACATACTTCAAAAAAATTTCTGAAAGTCACTTTTATTGTGCTTGCCAACATCCACTGGTTTCCACCAGGAATATCCAGTGGTTCATCTCTTCCACTCCGCTTCTGAAACCTACCTACGTCCGCCAGCTCCTGAATGCTTGGGTCACATACATACTTCGGTGACACCCCCAAGGGATGGACACCACCCAGCTCCTATTCATTCCACCAGTCATTCCCACAGACACACACACCAGCTGCCATCCACTGATCTCCAACAAGCTTCTGCCAGCTTGCTTCAGGAGGCTAACTTCTACCAGCTTACACCCACCAACCTCTGGCAGACATCCATAGGCTTCCCCTTCCAGTTTACCGGCCAATATCTGCCAACTTCAAGGTGTTAACTCGAAAGCCCGCTTAGCTTCCACTAGACAACTCGCCTTTTTGAGAAGATTAAAATCCCCAGAAGCCGCCACCCTGTGCCAGACTGACTTCTTTTGGCCTCCTGACCAACTTGCCAAACCCCTTTTATCCGGGAGTCGAATGGTGGGAGGTCCCTGTGATGTCACAAAGACCTAGGAGCATGTAGTGAGTTTCAAAGACAGCAGCAGGAGCCTTGGGATTGGCTGAGCCCTGGTGATGATGTCAACTATTCCTCTTTCTGAAATCAGCTTACAGCTCATCATCTTGAAAACATTATGCAGTATTTAATAAAACAAATCTCAACCGTTTATGTTCCTCGTCATGCTGACAGGAAGAGGGTGCTGTTCCGTACTACAATATTTGGCCACATGATACAGTATCTTGCTTTTAAGGAAGGTTGTTAATTATTTAAAAAACAATTTATAAAACACTCACAGATTGGGTTCTACACCACCAGAGAAAACCAAAAGAGGCATGAAAATGTTTGTTGTCTTCTCCAGAAAAATAATCATAATGCTGATGATGAGAGAAAGAAAAAAGCAAGAGACGGAGAATGCAGACTAAAATTAATCTAAATTCGGGCTAAGATTCAAAGCTTTAGGTCTATTGTCGTTATGAAGATAGTGGTATTTGTTAGTTTCTTTTTAGCATTTTCATACTTATTGTATTTAACTTTAATAATGTCTTTTAATAAGATAAGCTTCCTCTTTATACTCACTGTTCTTAGCTTTAAATGTGGTCTTTTAATGATGTAAACCACTCTTGTATACATATCATGGTTTTTGGCTTTAAGTATTGACTTTCAAGAATGTAAGCTGCCTTGAGTCCTTTTTAAGGAGAAAGGTGGAGTAAAAATGCAATAATATTTGCAGGGGAAACTACCAGTGTGTTTTTTCGACTGCAAGAACTATGGATGAATGCACATCAATGGTGAACAGGCGAGATGTGCATATACCTGTCTTCTATAAAAAAATGAACGTTGAAGCAGAACTGGTAAGTACCCTTAGAGAGTAAGCCCCATGTTATCTCAACCTCGGATTATCCGCTGCACAGATCCAGAAATGTCAGGTGGGAAAGCCAATGTGACAGCAATTATAGTCGAGTGGGGATAGGGTTTGTAAGTGCTGGATAGGACAAAAAGGGCTCGATCTTTTCCCACCATAAAACATCTAGGAAATGTTATGCGCGGAGGCGTTGCGTCTCAGGAAAGCTCTTACTATAGTTTGGAATGGTTAAAAATAAAAACAGAGGAAGCAAGAAACAAAGCCCATGATGAGAAGCTACTGAGGACTAAGTTGCACCGATCCCTGTTAGAAAAGTTGAATCAATCCCTTCGAGCACCGTGCACTTTATAGAAAATAGCTAAGATGTTTGCAGTTAACAACTGATGATTTCATGTCAAACGTTTTCTGTTTGGGGAGAAATCTATGCTCAAGATACAGGTCAGGAAAATTTGTAATGTGAACTCAGTTAGTGTCTTAACAGTGTTTTTAAACATCCTGTAGTCGTGGCCGAGTGGTTAAGGCGATGGACTAGAAATCCATTGGGGTCTCCCCGCGCAGGTTCGAATCCTGCCGACTACGAAATCATAGTTTTGTTCTTTAAATTCATCATTGTAAGATAGGAATTTGAGGTTTTCTCTTCGGGAACGTTTTATTTATTTACTGCCTGCTTTGATATGCTAGTGAGTTCACAAACAGAGTTAACACAGGTTCTTCAGGTACGCGACTGAAGGGGCGTGGCTTGGCCTGTCACAGCAGCCCTCGGCTGCCATCCGCTACCATGGCAACAGCGAGAAAAGCAGGATTGGGGGGGAGGGAAAGCCCTCAGGATAAGCTAAGATGGCGGACGACCTAGATGCGTTGTTAGACGAAGTAGAAAGGAAGTTTTGTCGCCTCTCCAGGCAGGACTGCACCGATAAGGCTCAGGCCCAAGAGCGGAAAAGAAACCGATTCCGTGAGGAGGAGGAAGCGGCCGCGGCGGGAGAGAGGGCCAGGTGAGCAATGCGCATGCTCCGGCCGTCGTCTTCATCTTCCTTTCTCTTCCTCCTCCTCTCGCTTCTTGGCTGTTTTAACGCACGATTCTGAAGGGGAAACGAGAGGGCGGCGAAAATCAGTTTCAGTTCCCTTGCCGGGCAATCAGTCCCGCAGGACTCAGATGATTTTTGTTTTTAAGAAGCCTATTTCTAAGCTGTAGTTCTTTAGATGTTTACTGGAGACTTTCTTCCGAGTACAGTAAATATCCACTGGATCGCGTTACTTAAGCACTTCTTTTTTCGCAGTTTCTTAGCACAAACTTTGTTTGTGAGGCGGTTGGGGAATCTGTGGCTGTCCAGATGCTACAACCTAAGTTGTAGTCTTGTAGTACAGTATTTGGAGAACTGCATGCTCCGCAACCCTGATTGGACGTCACCAAAGATGCTTTCCAGTGGGTCTGGTAGAAGGTGGATGATGATGATGATGATAATAATAATAATTAATTAATTAATTAATAATAATAATAATAACTTTTGAACTGCAGAGCTGAATCATGAGTCCAGCCCCTCTGAACCTTTGGCTCTGCAGTCAGAGACTTAAACCATTTAGCTATCCATGAAACCAGTTTATTTGATGGTGGTTTCACAAGGATCCCCTATAAAAATCATATGAAGTCATGAAGATCTGTTCTTGATTTCATAGACCCACCTTTTACTTTCTCCCTTTCCCAGCAATGTGATTCCCATTTTTTTGTTGTTGCCTGCATTATGCTCCTGGTCCACATATGACAACATTCAAGTGGAAACCAGAAATGAGGATTATGCTTTGCTCTCGTCTTATACCCTATTTCTCTGGATGCTGCATAGCCTCAATTATCTCCTCCTTTGCATCAACCCACTTCTCAATGTGTTACCACTTCCTCCCACTTGGTTACTTATGTTAGTTGTTGTGCTGCCCAGTATGCCTCTGGGTTTCAGATCTCTGCCCCATGCTTACAGCATGCTCAAGAGCTGTCATCCCCTTTACCTGTGCCAGGTGAGCCCTGTCATCCCACCTCAAATACACTTCCCAGACTTTTCTAGCTTCCCTCAAGCTTCCAATATATATTGCTCTACCTGATACTACAAAAAAGTTTCACATGCGACAGGTACTGAGTACTGTATATATATGATCATGACTATACATTGGGGGGGAGTTTACAGTAGACCTCCATATAGTACCATTGAACGCTGATTTTAGTCACTGTGCACACCACACATACAAGAAGCTACGAGCCCATATGTACAGTTGCCATACAGGACAACTATTATGGAGATGTTGCTAAACATTCAGTGGCCAAAATCCTCTTGCGTAGCTACACAGATGGCTTAGCTTTCGGAGGCAAACTGCTTTAAATTAAGAAATCTCCATGAACGTTATCCACTGCACTCCATGTTGCACAGCTTAGTATGCAACAGATAATGTCTTAAGAAGTTTCTTAACTTAAAGCAGTTCACTTCCAAAAGTTGTCTTTTGCGCAACTGTGCAACATGATTTCAGCCACTATACAGTGGTGCCTCGCTTTACGATTTCTCCGCATTACAACGAAACCGCATTACGACGATCTTTTTGCGATTGCAAAATGATGGTCTGAATAGGGTTTTTTTCGCTTTGCGATGATCGGTTCCCTGCTTCGGGAACCGATTCTTCGCAAAACGACGATTTTCCTCCAGCTAATCGACATTTTCAAAATGGCCACCCGGTAAATAAAATGACTCCCAGCTGTTTTCTGGGACGGATTCCTCGCTGCACAGGCACCAAAAATGGCCACCCTATGGAGGATCTTCACTGGACGGTGACTTTCCAGCCCATTGGAACGCATTGAAGGGGTTTCAATGCGTTTCAATGGGCTTTTTATTTTCGCATCACGACGTTTTTTTCTACAGCTATTTCGCTGGAACGAATTAACGTCGTAATGCGAGGCAGCACTGTATAGTTTTGTCTCATGATACTATAATGCCTGTGGTGTACCAAATAGCTGTCTGCTGCTAATCCCAGTTTGCTATAGTTTTTGAAAATGATGTGTTTGTGGAAGGATCCTACCCCATCTCTTTTAATAGCAGATGGTTTCCCTCTGTTCTCCTGTCCTTAATACCACTGCTGTGTACTGTTAACATTAGATGGTGCGGTAGCAACTGAAAGTAGGAAACTCCCACTTCCACTTTCCTCAAAGTGTGCTAAAACAAGATGTTCTGGAAGCAGGTATCCTATTTTAGAGCAAAAGTATTTATTTTATTTATATCCCACCCATTTAGACTGAAGTCTACTCTGGGCAGCTAGCAACAATATTAAAATAAAACTACAATATTATTACACTAGATGATGGCAAAATAAGTTAGGTATCAACAGGAGGGAAGGCCTGTCTGAAGAGCCAGGTCTTAAGTTGGCTCTTAAAAACACCCAGCAAGGGAGTCAGACAAATTTCTGGGGGGAGATTGTTCCAGAGCTGAGGGGCCACTGCTGAGAAGGCCCACTTTCTTGTTCTTTCTCTTCAGGCCTCCCTTCTGGCTAGAGCGAATAGTAGATCTAGGTGGGAGAAGGTGTTCCTTCAGATATTGAGGTCCTAAATTGTTTAGGGCCTTATGTGTCATCATTAATACTTTGAAATCAATGTGGAAATGAACAGGTAACCAATGCAAGGCCGCCAGAGTGGGGGTGATATGTTGGTGTTTCCAGTAGGAAGTCTGGCTGCCGCATTCGGCACCATTTGAAGCTTCTGCATCAATCCCAAAAGTAGCCCCACGTAAAGCGCTTTACAGTAGTCTAATCTCAAGACTACAAGCGCATGGACCAGAGTGGTAAGGGCCCCGACATCAAGATAGCTGGGCAATGCACCAAAGATGGAAGTAGGCGGTGTGGACTACTGACGCTACCTGGATTTCCATGGTAAGCACCGGATCAAGATGTATCCCCAAGCTGTGAATCTCAGTCTTTGTGGTGATAGTCACCCCCCCCCAAAAAAGTGAGGGTGTTTCCCAAACCACCAATGTCTGGGCCACCCACCCTCAGGACCTCCGTCTTGTCCGGGTTCAGCCTCAGACCATTCGCCTGCATCCATCCCAGAACTGCATCCAGACAGCGCTGAAGGGATGGAACAGCATCCACTGTTCTAGGAAAAAAGGAGATGTAGAGCTGGGTATCATCAGCGTACTGATGACATGAAGCCCCACACCCCCTGATGACCTGACCCAGTGGCCTCATGTAGATATAAAACAGCATTGGAGAAATAATCGAGCCCTGCGAAACACCACAATTGGGATTCCACGGAGCTGATACACTCTCCCCAAGCTGTACTCTCTGGGGATGGTCCTCTAAGAAGGATCGGAGCCAGGCTAACACCAGACCACCGCTTTCCAGCTCAGAGAGCCTCCCCAGGAGGATACCGTGGTCGACGGTATCAAAGGCGGCTGAGATATTGAGAAGGACCAACAGAGACATTTTGCCCCTGTCAGCCTCCCTCAGGAGGTCATCAAACAGGGCGACCAATGCCGTTTCCGTACCGTGGCATGGCCTGAAGCCAGATTGAAATGGATCCAAGGCATTGGTTTCATCCGGTCAACCACCACCCTCTCTACCTCTTTACTAAGGAAAAAAACATTGGCAGTGGGCCTATAATTGCCAATATTGTCCACTGCCAAATTTGGTTTCTTCCTAATGGGCCTAATGAGTGTCTCCTTGAGGGAGAGACCCATTAATTATTGGGTCCTGGAGAGACCCATTAATTATTGCAGTGGCCCATTTGGTTGTTATAGGCCTAGCTGCTTTGATTAGCCAGGCCGGGCAAGGGTCAAGAGAGGAGGTGGTGGCCCAACAGTGATCAAGGACTTTGTCACAATAATATGTACTGTGTTGTTTCCATTTTGCAGGTTGCACTCAAGATGAGGACTGTTCCTCAAAGAGCAGCTTACACCAAACCTTTTTATAGACCAATGTTCTTATCCCTGGATGGAATATATTTGTTAGTTACTGGGTGTATGTTCCATCTCTCTCCCAAAATGGGATGCAGGATGACTCATTACAATATTGCAATAATATTACTTGAATACAGAATTTAAACACGTCAAATATTAAAACAAAATTAAATTTAAACCAAAGTGTGCAACAGTTTAACATAGTTTTAAAATGTACCAAGGAAAATACAGCATGCAACTTTTAAGAGTTCCCTTCCTTAGCAGCCAGTCAGATGAGGCTGATGGAGCGTTTTGTTGCCCTTCTAATGCAATTCAGTGATGTTAGCTCCATATTGTGTGGGAGAATCAGTACGAGCAGCTTAAATCACAAATGATTTTGGAAACTGGGTTACAATGGTATTTTTAATCCTTTTGCAGCACATTGCTAATGTTAGAACTCCAGCCTGCCAACTGTAGTCCTTCTCTTTATGATTTCAGGGCTTTAAGAAACCTTACAAAACGATGTTTTCATTTTCTTTTAGATTTTCCAAAGTATTGACAAAATATGCTAGCGAAGAAGAAGACCTAGATGGAATAATTAAAGATATAATTGATGAAAAGAGCTGTGCCAAAAATGTTGAGGTAAATAGACTCCAAGCCTGTGACAGATTTGAAAGTTTGGGAATCTAATTAGAAAGAGGAAGCTGTCATTTTGAAACAAGAAGTAAGGAATGGCTTTTAATATCACTACGTGGAGTTTGTGAGAAGTTAAGATCAAGGATGTGATACAGTCACTGTGGATTCTTCAGTTTTCTTTCTTTCCCCAAGGAAATAACAATACTTCAATTAAATTGTCTCTGAGGCCACTTTTTTTAAAAAAATCACCAGTCAAAGCAGCTGTACAGAAGTAATTGCTAAAGCTGTTAAAGATATTGATGAACTGGGAGCATCAGATTAATGACAATAAATAAGTACCTTGAGCTTTCCCAATCGTGATATGTGCTGCCAATGTCAAAGTAAAATAAGCTTCTTTCCACTTTAATGATAACTTTTGAGTTGAAGCAGTAAGAATATGTGAACTTCCCTTCTTCTGCCTGTTGGTATGTGTAGCCTAGTACTAGTTACTGTTAAAATACTTTTTAATTTAAAAGGCCATTTGTGTCCTAGAGGGGTGTAGAGACCCCATTGCTACATGTTTGGGCCCATGGGGGCCTCTTTTCCCCCCCAAAGTGACAGGAGACTTCCAGTTTTGAAAAAGATCCCAACCACCTCCAGGCCTGAAAGAGGTCTGGGAGGCACAAAATAATTTCTCTGCATATGATGGCATATGATTTACTGATTTTTAAATATTGGTTTTATGTCATTTGATTATACCTGTAATTTGATCTTATGGAGGGATGTTGGATTACATTATGTATTGTTTTGTTCTTTTTGACTTTTGTTTATTTCATCCATAAGATGACTTAAATCTTTATTATCAATAAGATATCCAAGCAATAGAAGGGAAAATAAAAAATGTCAATAATAATAATACTAGTTAGTATAAAATTGAAAGCGGGGCTGGATAGCTCAGCGGTTTAGGTAGCTGACTGCAGAGCAAGAGGTTGAGTCCCTAGTTTGATTCCCTACTGTGTCTCCTGAAGAGAAGAGCCAGCCTATGTTGCCATGGGCAAGCTATACAGTCCAAGGATGCTCCCCGAAGAAGAGAATGATAAACCACTTTCGAGTACTCACTTCCTGAAAAACACTTGAAAGGATTGCCATAAATCAGAATTGTGTTGTTGTGTGTGTTGTTTGTTGCTGTTGTTATATAAAATAGAATAAAAACAAAATTGTTATGTTACCTTTAAGACTAATAAATTGATTTCACTGTGGTCTGTTAACCTTAAAAGCATCACGTTATTTTTGTTTTGTTTGTACTGAAACAGACTAATGCTACTACCTCTTTGAAAATAATAATTGCACTTATTTTTCTATCTCCCATCTGGCTCGCCTCAAAGTATGTTCCTGCTCATTATCTGAAAACAAACACATAATATCTTTTTATAGTACCAATCCATGTTAAAATCTCACCATTCCCCTGTTTCTGTTTGTTAGAAACAAACATCAAAATTGCCCAGCTGTGCATCTGAAAATAATATTACAGTCATTCAAGCCCATGGTAAAAGGTAGGTTAAAATTATATCAGTGAATAAACGTTTAGTGATCAGTAAATGACTCACTGAAACCTAACTGCATGGGTTCAAGTAAAGAATGAGATGGTGGGTGGGATCAAGAGTCAGTTGCACATACGGTGCTATCCTGCACGTTTTTGCCTGGTCCCACTGAACTCAATGGGGATGGCTGCCAGTTGTTTAACACTGGCAACAAACAGAATAACTCACTCTTCCCATCCAACCTAGTTATGCTGTTGGTAGGACAATAACAAGGAGTGCTCTATTCTCGTATTCAAAACATACACCTTGACTTTAACTCTTGCATTTTGCCTTTTGTAACTTACCTTCTTTGTAGATCTCAGGATTCTAGTAAATCTTGTTATTCTGCTGCCAAAGTCCATAAAAACTAGAACATTACCCTGTGCTAACTATTTACTTTATTTATTGTCAGGAGATTGTAGTACATGCAAAGTCCGTATGAATTCAGTACAGTACCTGCATAATACCATATTTTTCTGTGTATAAGACACTCCCATGTATAAAATGCCCCTCACTTTTCTAACCCAAAATTAAGAAATCTAAGTTTAGCAAGTGTATGGGGAAAGGGATCAAAGCACTGCAGGCTCACTTTGATCCCTGCTTCCCCCTCCACTTGTTTTTTCTCTCCTCAGCTTACTTCCGTGTATAAGACGACCCCAAATTTTTAGTCTAAAGATTTTAGACAAAAATATAGTCTTATACATGGAAAAATACAGTGCCTGCCTATTTCTCTCTTTCTCCAAGGGGGCATACCTGTGGGTGCTGTCATTATGGATGTTTGTGCTTTAGAATTTACCTGCACTGATCTGTCCTCTCTCTCGTAAAGCAAGGAAACAGGGAGGTTTTAGATTTTAAGGAGATATATGAAGAAAATGCAGATGTTCTGGGAGACAGTTTCAAATAGGGGCTAAAAGCAAGAAATAATAAATTATTAATAGTCATGGCATATAGTTCATATCAATTTGAAACTAGGTCTGAATTCAATTAACTTATATACAACCCTATATTTTAAATAGCTCTGTAAAGAAAAGGTAGTGCCAGTTCTTACTTATATTGTACATAATATTCCAATGCCTTATAAAAATATTAATCATATTACCATCTTCAGCAGCATTCTAATTTTTGACATCTGCAGTATTTGGTAAGAACTAGGCAGGGACTGGAATGCATTGCATTTTTATAAAGATAATTCTACAGAGGTTTATTCTGAACTGTATAATTGAAAAGGTACACATGTTCATTTCCAAGAAATGAAATGGTTACTATATGGATCTTCCCATTTTAATTCTTGCAGATGTTGCCCAGTATACCTTGGTGGAAGCACTGCACCATATGGTATTGGAACAAATATTTCACAGAGGTAGGTTTTTTTAAAATGTTGATCACATGATTATATCTGCATGTTTCTTAAACTGGAAAGGAACACAGGAAGTTGTTTATACTAAATGAGATCACTGGTCCCTCTGTATAACACATATCAGCCTCCTCTATGTGATGCCCTTTCAATGTGCTGGAACTAGAACCCCATGGCAAAAATATCACACTCTTTTGAATTTTGTGATGCTGTTTTTGTCTTAAGAATTGTGTTAAAATACGAGAGGAGAGAGTATATACATAATATGAAATACATATTTAAAACACACATTTTTGCATGGGATTGCTTTTGAAAAGGCACATGTTGGATCTTATAAATCTTATGAATGAACACTTGAGAAACTGACATACACTTTATCATTTGTCCCAAATTTTGGTTCCTTGTGATGCAGGATAAGTAAACCACAACCAAGGTTCCTGACTAATTTGAGGTGTAATGCAGAAGCTTTTTATAAGGAGGCAACCACCTGGAGGGAAACTTTTTTGGGGAATTATTAATTGCATTTAGTCAAATAGGAAAGTTGGCAGTTGCTAATACAGTAATATATTTAATCTTTTTTTTTCAGCTAGATAACCTAGCAACCGAATTGCTACAGCCTGTTCCATTTTAATCAGTTGTTTAGCGAGGACTATACTAAGGATCAGGATTGTTACCTGACCATTAAAATAAACCTTAAAATTTTATACTATGCGTTTTGATTAATTAGTGTATTAAATGCAAGTATATTATTTTGTCTTGTTCAGTTTGTTTAAACAAATCAGTGATATTGGTCTATTTTTATTTTGAACAGAACCTGTGATCAGTTACGTTGTATTGCGTGTGACTTCCGTGTTTCTCATTACAATGACTATCACTGGGACAAATCATGTGATTACCTCTTTTTCAGGTATGTTTGTGGTATCTGATGTCATGAGTCTGGTGTGTTCCCACTGGCATTTGATTGGTAGATTACACCAAACTACTTCTGGCACAATAGCCACTTGACATTTCCAGCGTTCTCTATAATATATGCTCCAGTTTCAGCCTTCACAGCATTAACAGCATCCCCCAATTTACTGCCTTTCAGATGTATTAAAATACAACTCCTAGTAATTCTGGAGCAGTGGCCATGCTGGAAGAAAGTGATAGAAATTAATAGTTCAATAGACTATATCTGAACTGTTCCCAGTTAGGATAAGGTGGCATGTAGAATGGTGGGGATCTTTTAGTATTTTAAGTCTGAAAAATGCTGTACCAAAAGGCTTAGATGTCAATGGCAAAGAAGTGCATTTTTATTTGTGTTCATTTCCCTCTGTAGCTACTACTAGCCCCTCTTCTTTAATAGTTGTTAATTCTATTTAAAAAGTGATTTGGAGAGGAGAATCAAGCCTCACACTCACTGCTTGTAGGCAGAGACATTGAACAATCTAATCACAGCATGTCTGACCAAGGTAAAATCCTAAACTCAGTTTATTTATTTGGACATATAGCCAAAAAAACGGAACTCAAGGAGACTTAGATATTGAATAAATTAAGAATTCAGTATAAAACAGAAAACTTGATCAGCTCTGGAAACTGAATTAATTGTTGCCCAGCTGACAACAATCAGATAGATTGTTTCAAAACACATCCCTAAGAGAACTACAGTACTCTCTGGTAACAAAAATGGACCAGTAGCCAGTTAAACTATCTTAGGTAGGGAGTCGTATGCTCCTTGTAACCAGGCCGAGTCAACAGCCTAGCTGCAGCATTTTGGACCAGTTGAAGTTTCCAAGCCATATAAAAGGCAACCCCACATAGAACAATTCAAACATGGTATTACAAAGGAATAGGATACTGTGACAAGGCTAGGGGCAGATGCAGTTGGTACACAATGTCTAACTGTCATAGGGATGTCCAGATCCTGAATTCAGAAGCACGCGCGCACACACTGCTAAAGTTCTAATTTTAATAGAAAGTACAATTCATCAAGCTGAGAAAGATTTGCTTCTGACTGGAAATATAAGTTGGCCATCTGCAGCATCAAGGAGAAGATGCTGTTATGGTAATGGCTGTAGATTGGCATAAGACTCTTTTAAAATGTCAAAACTGATCTGTGTCAGGACAGTGTCTGTAAGGTTCCCATGCATTTATCTTACCCTTATGTGCACATGCATTGCTTGCTAAATTCACGCAAATGACTGAAGTATTGATTCATGGGCTTGTGTCCAGAGAGTCACAAGCAGGCTTGTTCTTGCAGAAGAAGGGTGTCTTGTGTTTGGTGTAGCTGCTTATTTCTGCACAGATGCAGAAACATTCAAAATGCTACTCTGGAGGACTGGAGATCTTTCCAGAATGGCATGTATTTGTGGGTGGTGTTTTCACCTTGGCAAACAACAGAGGTACACGCCCTTTGCATGAGTGAAATTTCCTGGCACTTAAAGATGGGTGGGTGTATACTTAGATTCAATATTTTAAAACTTCCAAAAAGATGTTTAAAAAGACTGTTCTTGATTGATAGGAACAATATGCCTGAATTCAGTAAGTTAAAGATGAAGATGGTACCAAAGAAGGGATCACGGGCTTATGCTTGTCAATGTTCTTGGAGGTCTATAAATGAATTGACAGATCTCTCAACAGACCGTCAGCTCCGCTGGGTATGTAGCAAACACACTGAATGAAGTCTCCTTGCACAATCAAATGCCCACTTGTGTCTGAAGACCAGCATTGCTTGCCGTTGTGTGTGATGAATCAAGTGTGTTCTATATTCAATTAGGTCTTGTTGCTGTTTCAAATATATACTGAGCACTTTGCCTAGTCTGCAGCTCCACTGTGAACTAACCTAACTGGGTAGAATGATAAGGCACAAACCTGAACTTCTGATGCATGGAGAACCAGGCTGGCAAGAATGCCTTAGTCTGAGCACTAGGGATGTTGCAGTGTTGCTAAATAGTTTGGGCTCTGACACCTCCCTCCACCAGTACAGTGATATGAGGAGGAAGTCGAAAAGACCTAATGTCTGTCATAGAAGCCATCTGACAAATGTAGAAGAGAAAGATACACAAAGCTAATGCGTAGCTATAGCACTTTTTAAATATAGTGCACTACTTGTGGAGCATTTGAAACATAAAATATTGAGGCATTTGTATATTCTGAAAAAGATTCTGACAATGGGGAGTAAGATAATAGAGCTCTGGTGTTTTTCTGCAGTTATGTATTGAGTCTCAATTAATACCACTTTGGAGTAATAGTTTAATAGTATATTGGAGTAATGACATTCACAGTCAAGGCCAGAGCAAGTAGCAGTGTCAGATGTGGTGATGATGCTAATGACACCACAGTGTCAGAATTCTAAAAGGTATCATTTCTAGATCTTTAGGCTACAGTCTTAATAGAATTTTACCCGGGTTAAGCCCAGGTAAGGACAGAGTGCTCCTTGTTTCCAGGTCAACTTGTATAGGATTGGACTGTATAGTGTTTATGCCATTCCACATTATCTCCTTAAGGCTGCAGTCCTGTAAGTAACTGACCTGAAAGTCCCATTCAGTTCAGTAGGACTTCCCTCTGAGTAAAATGCCTAGGATTGAACGGCAGAAAGCTTTTCTTGTAAAGGATATTATGAAAAAGCCAATGCATTTTATGAAATAATATCTTAAACCAACAATTTTTCTTTGTGGAAGGGGCAAAAAATCACTCTACAATGTTTAAGCTAATCTGAAAATGTCAGATATTCGTGTTGATCATCTTGTAAGATTCAGCATATTCAGATTTGCTATGTTTTTCTGTCAAAATGCCATATGCAGTGACACTTGTTGAATTGTATTAACCTAGTTTTTTAACCAATTCTTCTTTATATATTGTTTTCTCTGCCTGTGATACACAGTATTACCCCAGCTGTTTTTCTGTAACACTGGAAGTTGAAGAGTGCTTGAACTTAAGCAATAACGGGTCAATAGCAAACAGTTCGTGAAGCACAGTTTTTCCTTATTACTGTAATCTCCAAATGTCTACACATAAAAACAAGTCCGACTGATTTCAGTGGCTTCTCACACTGTGTAAATAGCTTAGAATCAGAGTATAAACGGTTTTGATATGCTGTCTTTAAAGAAAATGTATGACATGGAAATAATTCCTTCTAAATTTCATGTTAATGCTACAGTCATTAAAAGCTTTATTCTTAGTATTTTTGAATGGCCTGGCTATGTTTCATATTTTGCTTATTATCTTTTGTCCTTATTGACACTGACATTGTTTTGATAGATAACTTCTACTGGAAATTTTTAAAGTACACCACTAGCATGATGATATTGAAACAGTGAAGGAGGAACTCATTCACTGTACAATGGGGAGAGAATGTGTGGCCCTGCTGTTATAATTGGACTAAAGTACACCACTAGCATGATGATATTGAGACTGAAGGAGGAACTCATCCACTGTACAATGGGGAGAGAATGTGGCCCTGCTGTTGTAATTAGATAGCATCTCTCATAAGCCTCTACGAGCCTAGATAGTGGTCAGAGGTAATGGGAGTCCAACAACATCTGGAATGCCACATGTTCATGAGCCCTGGTAATGGGAGTCCAACAACATCTGGAGGGCCACATGTTCATGAGCCCTATCTTAAGGGCTAATGGGTTATAGGAATATAAAAACTGGATATTGATGTTCTTTGGAAGCAGCAGATGCTGGCTAAATATGGGTGGCTGGAACCCACAGACAGGTAGATACATAGACGCGATGGTGCTTCCAGACAAGAGTTTCCTACTGTTCACAATTAACTCCAACAACATCTGGAGGGCCACATGTTCATGAGCCCTATCTTAAGGGCTAATGGGTTATAGGAATATAAAAACTGGATATTGATGTTCTTTGGAAGCAGCAGATGCTGGCTAAATATGGGTGGCTGGAACCCACAGACAGGTAGATACATAGACGCGATGGTGCTTCCAGACAAGAGTTTCCTACTGTTCACAATTAACACAATGCCCAGAATCCTATTGGTTAGTTACACCAGTGTAAGCACAGTGGCATAAATCATCACACAACACAATCCTATTGGTTAGTTACATCAGTGTAAGCACAATGGCATAAATCACAGTGGTGATTCATGCCACTACTAAACAAGTTGCCTCTTATCATGCACCAACTTATATTGCTAGCATGCAACAGGGGATATAAGGAGCAACTTGTTAAACAGAGGCAATTCACCTTTGCAGTGTATGCCACTGCACAGGATTATTCTACCAAAAATCCTATTGGTTAGTTACATCAGTGTAAGCACAATGGCATAAATCACAGTGGTGATTCATGCCACTACTAAACAAGTTGCCTCTTATCATGCACCAACTTATATTGCTAGCATGCAACAGGGGATATAAGGAGCAACTTGTTAAACAGAGGCAATTCACCTTTGCAGTGTATGCCACTGCACAGGATTATTCTACCAAATCATGTTCTGTAGCTGTTCCACATTTTTTTCTGATAAGACAAAAAAAAATAGGAAAAAACAAAGGAAAAGCACAGGAGGACTGCAGTGTGAAGAATATTATCTAGGTCCCCTGCCAGCTTCAGTGAGAGAGCATTCCACAGATAAGACAAAAATGCTGTCTGAAAGCATCTTAGATGTGGGTGGTGATGATGATGATGACTTACCTTGAAGATTCCTGAGGTAAGATACAGAAAGAATGTTGAACACTTGAATGATGTTACACAAATGCAAAGTGTTTATATATAGTATACACAGAACAGGGGAAAGATGGTACACCATACTTATTTCTATGGAGACTATTTCTGCCCTGTTGGAATGCTCTTTCTCCAATTCCTATAAGAACTCAGAACACAGAACTCTGTCTGTGTTCTGAGTTCTAACTCCTGTCCTCTGAAGATGCCAGCCACAGAGACTGGTGAAATGCTAGGAAGAAAAACCTCCAGAACATGGGCAAACAGCTTGAAAAACCTACAACAACCATGTTTATATACTATTGTCCAAATTGTTTATATATATATTAGTATTTCATTTCCATGGTTCTGTTTTGCACAGCCAGTGTTCTCAGCCTTAATTGCCCCCTCCCCTTTGTTCCTAGCAAATTAAATCTTGTACAGTAACCATTTACTTTGAGGAAAAACTTTTCAGTGGGCTTACAGAACCTTCAAGCTTCAATTCACTGGGGAAAGCATCAACTGCAAGCAGAATATTTCTATGAGCTGGTTTTTGGCTGGTTTACACATCTCCCCCAGTGCATGTTAGCTCTTGCTTGGTTGTTGTTTTGACCACCCCATAAAGCTAAAGCACTCTCTAAATGGTTTACAAGATAATTGTGCAAACAACACTTTGTCCTGCCCTGCCCCCAATGAGCTGGGTACCCATTTTACCAACCTTGGAAGGATGGAAGGCTGAGTCAGCTCTGATGCAGCTATGTGAATTCATCAGGTTGTCATCGTCTTGGTCATCCTGTGCATATTTGCTGAATTGTTCTGATGGATAGTTTGATAGACGTTTAGTCAGATCACACTTAGAAATTATTGGAATATGCTCTTGACAAGATTTGCCAGTGCCTGTTCCATTGGCTGGGGAGGCGGTGGAAGGGAACGCACGGCACCTCTGGTGCTGCACCTATGATCTGGCACAAGCCTCCAAACAGAGGTCCATGCCCATCTCTAATGCAGAATATGCTAATCTCAGTGTGGTCAGTGGTTAACTAATGGCTTCTGCAATCCCTCGTATGGAAATGTTGGGACACAAAACGGCATCTCTCGTATTTTGAAAACGATTTTTTTAAGCACACATCCAAACAAGTTTATGGAGAACAGACTATCTGGATGCTTTGAATTTTGTATCTCAAACAATATTCACTGCTAAGACTTTTAAAAATCAAGTAAGATACCAATAAATGTCTTAAAATACCCAGCATTGTTCTTCTATGTAACATCTTGTCATTCCAAAGTTTTCAAGTGCTATTCTAGTTGCAAGAACTCATGAGGGAGCCAGAGCCCAGACTTCCAGAAGAGTCTTGGAGTGGCTGAACTTATGAGGCTTAACAGCTCTGATACATTGAAGTGCCATCACCATTTCTTGTCTAGCACCCTGGGCTGTTTCCCCAGGCCTACTAAGAAAACAAGAACTTGAGCCCTCTGCAGCCTCAGTCACAGGCAAACACCAAATTATTGTAGCAAATAACAAAGCAGAAGGTGCTGGATTTAGTACCAGGAAATCTCCATACTTAGACACAGAACAAGGAGGATACTTAAGATAGTTGTAGTAAGAACAAAGAAACTCCAGAATAAATCAGAGGACCTCATCCAAAATGCAAAGATAGATCAAAACAAACAGCTAACTTTGCTGAACTGTACTTAAATACTAGCATGAATCTCACTGAAACTGGTATTTATTTTATTTTATATTTATTTGTCTATTTTATTTCTATCCCACCTATCTGGTCGGTTAAGACCACTCTAGGCAGCTAACAGCATAAAAATAGAACAATAAATATATATAAAACAATTTTACATAAAGATAGATATTTCAAAAACTGGGAGCAAACAAAGGGAGAAAGAAGGTGGTGTGAAACAGAAACAGACTACAATAAATACAGGATGCAGGCAGGGAAGAGACAGAAGGTGCTTGACCTGCTTTCATTGTTGTGGCCCATAGTAACTCTGGGGGAACCAAACAATCAGTCACAGGTCAGAAAGGCTAAAGCTTCCAAAGATCCTAGCATACATACTAGTTCTCACATTGCCAGCTGCATAACTTTCCCAATTTGCAGGCTTCACAACTTGGCAACACAAAATAATAGATGAAACAATTTTGTTGGGTTCAGAATAGTCTTTTAAGCTGTCATGATGGAGATTCTGCTAAGATTCAGACCAAAGGTAAAAGGGCAAAAAGCTAAATTTCTGTCCAGAGGGGCAGGTGGAGGACAGATGTCAAGTGATTGGTTCAAAGAACACACAATGAACAGCTGTAGAACTTGTATTCTAGAATGGCATCTGTCAGCTAGATGCCATGCAGGAGATGCATGATCAGGATTTCTCACTTCCCCTTCCTAACGTCAAAAGAACCAAGAACATAGGAAAAGTGTGCTTTATCATCCCTTCCGCCCTTTCCCCAATAGAAATTATTGCCATTAGAGATGGGCACAAAGCATTTATGGTGTTTTATACAAAGTGTGCCATGTGGCACCACAAGTGCCATGTGGGCCCATCTCCCTCCCACCCTGGCTCGGTCGCCCACTCACCATTTTTTGTGCACTGCCAGGATCTTCCTCCGTTGGTGACACGCCAATCTGGGCAGGAGCTTGGGCTGCCCTTCCCCACCTCTTCAGGCAGCCAATCACTCATCAGTTGTACAGGGAGAATCCCTGTCCCTCCTCCTCATTGGAGTGGTCAGCTGCATGAGGAGGCAGAGGAGGGCAGCCCAAGCTCTTGCCCAGGCTGCCATGCCCGCGCCACTGAAGAAAGAGGTCTCTGACAGCACATGAAGAACAGTGGACCGGCCAGCTGGGGGGGGAGAGATGGGCGCCTACCGCACCTGTGGTGCTGCGCAGAGCGTTTCCTACGAAGTGTGACGAAGCACTTCCTGCCCAATTGGCATTCAGCAGCCATAATATTAAATGTTGTGCTTCAAGTCTTGCTTTCCTTTTCTTCTGCATCCCTTTTTTTCCTTTTCTGACACTTTTTTTAGATTGTAAAGCACAGGGAAGAAACTGTTTTGTCCTTTCATTTACTTACCTTTTTTTTTTAAATAGAGTCTGGGAACTGTAGACCCAAAAGTAATTTCCTGGAAATATCAGGAAAAGAAGATGCTCATGTAAATACAAGATGGAGGAGTTAAGATCAGTATACTGTATTTAAAAACAAAAGTTCCTTTTCAAAACTGTAGAGGGCAGGCTTACCTTAAAGTAGTGGCTTGTCACTTCATGGGTGGGGTATACATTCAATAAATAAAGAAATAAAATAAAGTAGTACAGTTG